GTCACATAACAGGTGTCAATAAATTCAAGAAGATTGAAATTATATCAAGCACCTTTTCTTTCCACAATGGCATGAAACTAGAAATCAACTACAGAGAGAAAACTGGAAAGAACACAAACATGTGGAGACTAAACAACATGCTTTTAAAACAACCAATGCATCAAAGAGGAAATTCAACAGGAAATCAAAAAATACTTTGAGACAAATGAAAATAAAAACACAATTTTCCAAAATTTGTGGGATGTAGCACAAACAATTCTAAGAGTGAAGTTCATAGCTGTACATGCCTACCTCAAGAAACAAGAAAAATCCCAAATAAACAACTTAATTTTACACCAGGAACTAGAAGAAGAAGAACAAACAAAACTCAAATTAAGTAGAGGAAGGAAATAATTAAGATCAGAATGGAAATAAACAAAATAGAGACTAAAAAACAATGAAACTAAGAGCTGCTTCTTTCAAAGGATAAACATAATTGACAAACCTTTAGCCAGACTCACCAAGAAAAGAGAGAGCCAACATAAATAAAATCATAAGTGAAAGGAGTGGTTATAACTGATATCACAGAAATACAAAGGATCTTTAAAGAATACTATGAACAATTTTATGGCAACAAAGTAGACAGCCTAGAAGAAATGGATAAATTTCTAGAAACATACAAGCTTCCAAGACTGAACCAGGAAGAAACAGAAAATCTGAACAGAATGATTGCTAGCAATGAAATTGAAGCATTAATCAAAGAACTCCCAACAAACAAAAGTCCAGGACCAGACAGCCTCGCAGGAGATTTCTATCAAACATTTAAAGAATTAATACCTATCTTTCTCAAACTATTCTAAAAAATTGAACAGGAAGGAATGCTTTTAAACTCATTCTATGAGGCCACTATTTCCCTGATACCAAAACCAGACAGAGACATTACAAAGAAAGGAAAATTACAGATCAATATTCCTGACCAACGTAGATGCAAAAATTCTCAACCAAATATTAGCAAATCAAATTCAACAATCTATTAAAAGGATTATACACCATTATCAAGTGATATTTATTCCAGGGATGCAAGGATGATTCAACTTCTGTAAATCAACCAATAGGATACATCACCATCAATAAAACCAAGGATAAAAATCGTATGATTATCTCAATAGCTGCAGATAAAGCATTTGGAAAAATTCTTTTTGATCCATTTATGATAAAAATTCTCAAAAAAGTAAGTATAGAGAGAACTTACCTCAACATAATAAAGGCTATATATGCAAGCTCCCAGTTAATGTCATATTTAATGATGACGCTGAAAGCTTTTTCTCTAAGATCAGGAAAAAGACAAGGATTTAATAGTGGCTCTCACCACTATTATTCAATACGATATTGGAAGTTTTAGCCACAGAAATCAGACAAATTGGAAAGGAAGAAATAAAACTGACATTATTTACAGATGACGTGATTGTATAGAAAACTCTAAAGACTTCCCCCCAAAACTGTTAGAATAAATGAATTCAGTAAAGTTGCAGTATACAAAATTATTGTATAGAAATCTGTTGTGTTTCTATACACTAATAATGAACAATCAGAAGGGGAAATTAAGAAAATTCCTTTTACAATTGCATCAAAAAGCACAAAATATCTAGGAATAAACTTAACCAAGGAGGTGAAAAACCCATACCCTGAAAACTATGAGACATTGAAGAAAGAAACTGAAGAGAACACAAATGGTATCATGACCGTGGACTGGAAAGATTAATATTGTTAAAATGTTCTTGCTACCCAAAGTAATATACAGATTCAATGTGATCCCTTTTAAAAGACCAATGGCATTCTTTCAGAATGAGAACAACTAATCCTAAAATTTATATGGTACCATAAAGCCCCTGAATAGCCAAAGCAATCTTGAGAAAGAACAAAGTGGATGAAATCGTGCTCCCTGATATTAAATTATACCACAAAACAATGTGTTACTAGCACAAAAACAGTTATCAATGTGAGAGAATTGAGAACCCAGAAATAAATCCTCACTTATATGTTCAATTAATCTATGATAAAGGAGGCAAGAATATACAATGAGGTAAGGACAGTCTTTTCAATAAGTGGTGTTGGGAAAACTGGACAGATACAAACAAATAAAACTGGACCACTCTCTTACAACATAAAGAAAAATAAACTCAAAATGGATTAAAGACTTAACTGTAAGACCCGAAATCTTAAAGCTCTTAGAAGAAAACATAAGCAAAAAACTCTTTGACATAATTGTTAGCAATATCTTTTTGGATATTTCTCTTTGGGCAAGGAAAACAAAAACAAAAATAAACAAATGAGACTACATCAAACTAAAAAGTTTCAGCACAACAAAGAAAACCATTAGAAAAACAACTTACTGAATGGGAGAAGATATTTGAAAATGATATATCCGATAAGGGGTTAGTATCCAAACTATATAAGGAACTTATACACCTCAATAGCAAGAAAACAAACAATCTGATTAAAAAATGGGCAGAGGAGGGAGGGGGGAGGTAGACGGGGTAAAGGAGGTCAAATATGTGGTGACAGAAAGAAATCTAACAATGGGAGGTGAATACACAGTGTACATATATATATGTCTTACTGTTAAAGTATACAGCTGAAACTTATTAAATTTCATTAATCAATGTCACCATAAAAAATTAATTAATTAAAAAAATGAGCAGAGGATATGACTTGAGTAGACATTTCTCCAAAAAAGACACTTAGATGGCCAACAAACATATGAAAAGATGTTTAACATCACTAATCATCAGGGAAATGCAAATCAAAGCCACAATGAGATACCACCTCACACCTATCAGAATGGCTAGTATCATAAAGTCAACAAATAACAAGTGTTGGCAAGGATGTGAGGAAAAGGGAACCAGAATGCACTGTTGGTGGGATTGCAAACTGGTGCAGCCAGTATAGAAAACTGAGGAGATTCCTCAAAAAATTAAAAATAGAATTACTACATGACCCAGTAGTTCCTTTTTGGATGTTTCTCTGGGTATTTATCTGAGGAAATCCAAAACATAATTTGAAAAGATATCTGCACCCTTATGTTCACTGCACCATTATTTACAATAGTCAAGATATGGAAACAATTTAGGTGTCCATCGATAGATGAATAGTTAAAGATGTGCACACAATGGAAAATACTCAGCAATAAATAGAATGAAATCTTGTCATTTACAACAACTTATTTCACTTCATGCTAAATGAAATAAGTCAGAAAGAGGACAATATATGTTTTCACTTGGATGTGGAATCTAAAAAAAAAGAAACGAACAAACAAAAAAAAAAGACTCACAGAAACAGAGCATAAACTGATGGTTGCAGAGGTAAGGAAAGTGTAGAGATGGGTGAGAAAGGTGAAGGAGAATAAGAGGTACAAACTTCCAGTTATAAAATAAGCTGCAGAGATATAGTGTAAAGCATGGGAAATATAGCCAATAATATTGTAATAATTTTGCACGGTGACAGATGGTTACTAGACTTAAGTGTGGTGATCACATTGTGAGGTATATAAATATCAAATCACTGTTGTACACCTGAAACTACTATAATATTGTATGCCCACTTTAACAAAAAATTTTTTCAAAATGCTGAGTCAAACTTGCTTAATTTAATAAGATTTCCGTCCAGAATCTAATTTGGGGTTCAAGATATCTTTTTCATGGAGCTTAGAAACTTAACACTTTAATATCATTGTTTACGGCACTTTATAGTTTTCAAAATGCTTTCATTTTATTATTTCATTTAACATCATGACATCTTTTCTTTCACTAATTTAGAAATTTGAGAAAAGCAAAGGAAAGCAGTAGAGATAAAAGCTATGCAAATACCTAGAGTAACTGGACTGGAACTTCAGTTTTTATTGGTAAACTTCAGCATATATCCTTCTCTCAGACCATAGTCTGAAAGAATACTTTGCCCTGGAGTTAACTGAGCTAAACAGATCAATTTAGTAGTGGGAGATATTTTGTATCAGCTTTTGTAAGTGGTGCCTTTTGTGAATTGGGACAAGAGTAACCGGTGGAAAATAATGTAATAGTTGAGGACTAGGATGTCTAAAATCCTAAATTTAAATGTTTTTATATTTTAATTTCCTGGTCTGATATATTTATGAATAAATAAAGGTCATATCTATAAAAATGTATATAACCACTTGAATTACTTTGAATCCAATAAAACAAGGTTATGAGAATTCGTTAGAAAGAAACATTGATATCATCAATAGTAATAATAATGGTAATAACTGCTAACATTTCCTAAGAGCTTACTTTGTGCTAAGTGCTTTGTAGATGTTAGTCCTTTAATCCTGTAAGTCAGAGCTGCTCCTAAATCAATCTTACCTGAAAAATGTCAAACTTTAATCTGAAATTGGGGTACACTATATAATATTTAGAAATAATGTTGACCCACGAATAGGGAAGAATTTTGAGAATGAGTTATGCATTCAAAAATAACATTTCTTAGCCTCTGTATACAAATATATATATATAGCACTTATATGTAAAATAAAAGTTGAAAAATAAACTGTATCATGTTTACTACATTGTTTTGCACACACATAGTTTTACAAGAATGAGATCATAATACATATACTCTTTTAAAAAATAAACTTTAGAACAGTTTTAGATTTATATAAAGATAGTACAGAGTTCCCATACCCCTTCATCCAGTTTCTCTTATCAGTAACATCTTAATTAGTATGCATTTTTTACAATTAATGAGCCAATCTTAGTAATGGACTAAAGTCCGTATTTTACTCAGATTTCCTTAATTTTTACCTAATGTTCTTATTCTATACTGGGATCTCGTCCCAACATTATGTTTAATTGTCATGTCTCTGGTCTCTCTTGGCTGTGACGGTTTCTCAGACTTTGCTTGTTTTAGGTGTCCTTGACAGTTTTGAGAAGTACCTATCAGTTATTTTGTGGAATATCCCTCAATTGGGATTTATCTGATTTTTTTTTTTTTTTAATTAGACTGGGGTTATGGGTTTTTGGGACGGAGACCACAAAGGTAAAGTGCCGTTTTCATCACATCATACCAGAGATACATACTCGATCACCTGGCTGAAGTAGTATTTGTCAGTTTCAACACTCTAAAGTCCACCCTGCATCTCCGTCTTTTCCATACTGCTCTCTTTGGAAGGAAGTTGCTATGCACAGCCCACTCTTAAGGAGCGAGGTGTTATACTTAACCTCCTTGAGGTTGGACTATCTACGTAAATTATTGGGAATTCTTCTGCAGGAGTGATTTGTCTACCCCTCTACCCGCCCCACCCCCCCATTTGTAATCATTTACTTATATCAGTATTGATTCATAGATGTTTATTTTGTATTTTGGGTTATAATCCATACTTTTTTTTGATATACTGTCTTTGCCCAATAAAATGTTATGGACAATTTTGAAAGTCGATAGAGGTGAACATCATAACTTTTAGAGATTATATATTACGTATTTAACTAATTTTCTACTGATGTACATTTTTGCTTCCAGTTTCCCCTTACTTCCAGCAGTGATGGAATAATATCCTTGTACATTCATTTTTGTGCATTTGTGTGACTATTCTTAGTTTATTATTCTAACCCTATCCTGAAGACACATTATACTTGAGTTATGTTCCTTGCTCCTCAAACACACCCTGCTTTTTCTTAGATTACACTATATTATCTAGAATGCTCTTCCCCTCTCTTTGCTCACTGAAGTTCACTGTTTGATTCAGGGCTCACCTCAAAGGCTACTTGCTGTAGAAGCTCTTCTTTAGTGTGTGAGGATAATCTACTGGTTCCATCCCACTTTGTTGAACATGTATTATAACATTTATCATGTGAACCTTCTATGTGAAGGCTTTTTCCTCTTAGTTTATGAACTGGTAGAGTAAGAAAAGTGATCTATCATACTTATCTGTGTACTCCATCACAGTGGTGGGTATGTAAAGTAACTAGCATATTTTGATTTTGAAGTGTTGAATCTGAGTAACTGAGAAATTAAGAAGTATGCTCAGTATTGCATAGGTCTTCCCTTCTTTTACATACATTGTTGTTCCATGCTTCAGGGAGACAGGAATTGCATATAAATGTAGTTTTTGTTTGAAGTGAAAACATCTGTGCCGTAGTTTAAAAGTAGCTGTCAAAAATGTTTATTCGTAGACTTTGGTATTACAGTCTGCGTCTTCCAAAATGAGCACCTACGATGTGCCAAGTATTCATTGGAAACTGTATGAAGAAATGAAGTAATTAAATAAGGCCTCTGATCCTTCCGACTTCCTTTTTAAGTAAGCAGGTGGCATAATGTTTCTTACATGTTATAATTAGTAATTAGAGGTGAATGCCAAAAAAAAACAGAACAAAAACAAAACAGAGACAACATTTATTTGGTTGTGAGGCAGTGTCAGTGCGCTGAGACTAAAGATCCTAGACCGCTGTCCTGCTGACCCACCCAGCCTGCACCCAGGAGGCGACGCACCTCTTCCGTTAACACTTTGAGGCGGGGTGACCTACACATCTGTGACCCCCCACTGGGTAGGAGGAGGCCCCAGAGTAGGCGCGCGCGCAGACACAGCCAACCGTGAGCACCTGGGTTCGCGCTCCGCGGGGGGTGGGAGGTGGGCCCCGCCTCCGCTCTCCTGAAGCCCAATCGTCTGGAGACTCTGGCCACGCCCCCAGCTGGCGGGGCAGGGGGCGTCTTTAAGAGTCGGCGGCGGCGCCCCGGGATTCGTAGCTGTGGCCCAGGAGGCACGCGCCCCAAACCCTGAGGCTCTTTTGCGCAGCCGCCTTCTTCGCGGCAGCCTCCGCGCCCTGCGCCGCCCTCCCATCGGGGGCTCCAGGCTCTCGCCTCGGCCTCGCCAGCCCGGCCGGCCGGCTCTGGGCAGCTCCTCCGGGAGCCCGGCGGGAGCCCGCGCCCCCAGCGCTCTCCCGGCGCCCGAAGGGGCCGCCTGGGGCCATGGTGCTCTCCCCGGCCAAG